TCTAATTCACGGAGACACCATCTGTTACATAGTAGAAGTTCCTAGGTGGTACAACTTTGTAAAAGTTACACTAATAATTTTCACTTGCTGCTGACCTCTAAAATTTGGTGGTTCAAACCCAAACACATCCAGCAGTACCATGAAAGACAGAGTCCCCCAGCAATGATGCGCTCCTTGGGTAGAATCTGTAATGCACCATGTGTTTCTTCTGTGCCTTTTCCCTCGTGTAGACTGCTGTGGCTGCTGTTGTAGGATGCCCTAGTAGAATTTCTCCATGGTGTTTCTAAGCTGTCATTTTTATAGGAGTAGATAGGGCTTTTCTCCCTCAGCCACTGGTGGGTTCAAGCCACTAAATTTTAGATTAGCAGATGAGTGCTTAATCATTGTGCCAGGTCTATCTAGATAGGATAGGCGGGATAAACAATCTGGAGGAGAAAACAACGGGACCGATGGTTCTGGAGGGACATGGGAGAGGGGGAGGAACGAGAGGGGAAGTGGGTGTTAACAAACCCAGGGACAAGGGAAAAACTAGTGATCCAAAATCAATGGTGAGGAGGGTATAGGAGACCTCCTAGGGTTTGATCAAGGGCAATGTAACAGAGTTATTACTGAAACCCAAATGAAGGCTGAGCATGATAGTGGGACAAGAGGAAAGAATTAGGAGGCAAAGGGCATTTATAGAGGTCTAAATACAGGCATGTACATATGTAAATATGTTTATATATGATGATGGGGAAATAGATCTATAGGTTTAGTATTAAGGTAGCAGATGGGCATTGGGCCTCCACTCAAGTACTCTTACAAAATGCAAGAACATTTTGTTCTATTAAACTGGCATCCCATGATGCTCATCTTCTCTACACAATCACTGAAGACAAATGGGTGCATAAGCAAATGTGGTGAAGAAGGCTGATGGTGCCCAGCTATCAAAAGATAGAACATCTAGGGTCTTAAAGATAAACAACTGGCCATGTAGCTGAGGAGAAACAAAGCCCACATGGAAGAAGCACACCAGCCTGTGTGATCATGAGGTGTCAAAGGGATCAGGTACCAGGCATCAAAGAACAAAAAAATCATATCATTGTGAATGAGGGGAAGTACGGAGTGGAGGCCCAAAACCCATCTGTAGGCAGCTGGACATCCCCTTACAGAAGGATTGAGGGGAGGAGACGAGCCAATCAGGGTGCAGTATAGTACCAGGAATCAACTTTTCTGTAGTTCTCTAATGTCCCCCCCTGCGCACTATTATGATTCCAATTCTACCTTATAAATCCGGCTAGACCAGAGGATGTGCACTGGTACTGAAAAGCGCTGGAAACACACGGAATCCAGGACAGATAAACTACTCAGGACCAATAATGAGATTAGCTATACCAGGAGGGGAAGGGAAAGATGGGGGAGAAAAGGGGAACCGATCAGACTAATCTACATATAACCCCCCCTGGGGGACAGACAACAGAAAAGTGGGTGAAGGGAAACATTGGACAGTGTAAGACATGAAAAAAATTATTACAGGGGGAGGGAAGGAGGGGAAAAATGAGCTGATACTAAGGGCTCAAGTAGAAAATGTTTTGAGAATGATGGCAACAAATGTACAAATGTGGTTGACACAATGGATGGATGTATGGATTGTGATAAAAGTTGTATGATGTAGTATTAGGTGGGGGGGCAGACCCCTCCCCCACTACCCACAGGTTCAGTAAGCACAATTGTACGGTTGAGATGTATAAGTATTATATTAAAGTCATCGAGAGCATGAGTGATAGAAAAGATCCTACAGTAATGCAATCAGACACATTACATGGTAGCATTGCTCTCCTCAGCCCTGCTTGGTGTGGTCCATGTGGAGAGAGGCGGAAGGGAAGGAGGCTGGAAAAGGGAACAAGGGAGAGAGGACAGGAGAGGAGAGGGGGAAGAGAGAGCAGCGAGAGAGCTCTCTATTGCTAACCCAGGCCTATATACCTTTTGGGGGCCTGCAAGCCCACTAATTACAGGTAAAGACATACGTCACAGGAAGGGGTTGCACTGTAGGTTATACAGCAATGAGGGGGTGGTCTAGGGACCTACAATAGGAAGGGGAGGGATTGGGGGTATACATGTGACAAGTTGGGCGGACCCTAGATTTAGGATAGCAGTTTAACTTTGACCTGTTTTCTGGATCTCCATAGGAACCATTATCAGTAGGGTGTAAACCCTACCTACAGGAACCAAGTAGATGACTGCAACCCTGTCCATTGTCTTTAACAGCACGGGGGTGGGGGGCGGGGTGGGGAGATGCCTGCAAGCATCTGACCTCCCTCCACAGTATGAGCCCCCAATAAGATGACTTAAAAAAAAAAATCATTATGCCACCAGAGCTCCATCTTGTAGATGGAGCCATGTAAAACTTAGAATGTAGGCTTCACATTTATTAAATTCCAAGGAGTTTTGCTTTTTCTTAAGAATGGTACTACTGATTGAGGATTTATTGCATGGCCTGTCTGGATGCAGCCCTTTGGCTGCCCCTTGTGCTGGGCTGGGGGCTTGTTTTTAGTCAGAAATGAGCCCAGGTAACTCTGATGTAAATCTAAGCCAGCGGTTCTCAATCTATGGGTTGCGACTCCTTTGGGGGCCGAATGACCCTTTCACAGGGGTTGCCTGATTCATAACAGTAGCAAAATTACAGCTATGGAGTAGCAACAAAAATAATTTTATGGTTGGGGGCGGGGTGTCACTACAACAGGAAGAACTGTATTAAAGGGGGTCACGGCATTAGGAAGATTGAGAACCACTGATCTAAGCCAAAGTGGCATGGTAGCGTAGTCAGCACTGTTTCTCCAACTGTAACTCTGGCCTATGTGAGCGGAAGGACCAGGATGAGCTCCCCAGCCCTGATATTTATTCCTAAGTAAGAACAGGACCCTTCCCTGTGGTTTCTTCTTGCCTTGTGCTAAATTAAGATCTTTCAAATACAGTAAGCTATGAGATGCTTTTCTCATGAGGTTTCCTTTTCTTTTTTTAAATCCTTTTATTGGGGACTCATACAACTCATCACAATCCATACATAACGTCAGTTGTGTAAAGCACATTTGTACATTTGTTGTCTTCATCATTCTCAAAACATTTGCTCTCCATTTAAGCCCCTGGTACCAGCTTCTCATTTTTCCCCTCTCCCTCCCCCCTCCCTCATGAACCCTTGATAATTTATAAATTATTATTTTGTCCGATGTCTCCCTTCACCCACTTTTCTGTTGTCCGTCCCAGAGGGAGGAGGTTATATGTAGATCCCTGTAATGGGTTCCCCCTTTCCATTCCACCCTCCTGGAGGTTTTCTTTTCATATCTATCTGGGAAGGATTGATATTTGGAGATTTGAGTAATTGTGGCAATCACTTATCAGCAACCCTGCTGGGGCTATATTGCCCTATGAGGAACATCTGGTGGTGCCTGGAGACATTCTTGGTTGTAGCATTTAGGCTGGTGGGTAGAAGACAATGATGCTGCTGAACATCCTACAGCGAACAGTAAAGCCCTCACAGAGAATGATCTGAAATGTCAGTCGGATGGAAGTTGTGCCCCTGCAGTAACTGGTGAAGCCTGGATGTGCATACACAGGGCCCTTTCCCAGCGTGTTTGCGTTGACTGATTAATCTGTACCTTCTCCCACTTCTTTTGGCTATTTTTGCATACAGAAAAGCATGTGCTTGCTTGTACATAAGCAGCATGATTCCAAAGAAAGTATGTTAGGTAAATGCCGTAGAATTCACAGTTCAAATTGGGGACATTTTAGTTTGTTAATGATGTCTCCTGATCCCCAGATGAAGTGTGTGCCCGTGAGTGTGTACGAGACTCATTAGCAGGTTTGATGGGGACCTGTGAGATATTCATATGTGGCCTGAATTTGGAGAGATGACAAAAACATCTTTTAAATGTTTTGAAACTTACTTTGTAGGAAAGTTAGAAGCAAATATTTCAGAGCAAATCTCGAATGAACTGTACCCTAACTTTGGTGTCAGGGTAGGCAAGAGGCAGTCGGGAGGGGAGGTTCTGTGTAATCTGTGTCATGTTGCAGATGCTGTCGGGACAGCATGGAACCAGACTTGTGGGCTAAGGCATTGGAAGAAGGATAAGGCCACAAGGATGGATTTGCAAATGTTTAATTGAGAACTTGATAGGGTTTGGGGAAAAGTTAACCAGTGAAATTCAAGTGAGATCAACTGCAGTGAAGTTAGGATGAATGAAAGTTTTGAGGAAAACGGAATCAGGAGCACAACCTCCAAAGCTACTGCTGTGACACATTCAGACCTAAAAATGGCTGCCTTGACTCGCTTTATATGACAAATGTGATGTTGCTACATTAAAATGCCAATGTTCTGTGCCATCGGGTAATGGAAGCTTTTTTTTAGAGCTATCTTTTAAAATTGCAAATGTTAAAATAAATATTTGGGAATAAAATTCATACCTAGATTATAATATCAACATTTCTGTTCAATTTTCTTAAAAATTTATGCATCCTTTGAAAAGATTTTCATTTAAAATATTAAATCATTATTAAAGACTATTATTACACACACACACACACACACACACACATACACACACACACACACCCAGACACCCCAAAAATGAGGAAAAATAAGTGAGATTACCACGAAAAGTTTAGTCCACTGCAGAGATTGTTACAGCTACTGTAGTTTCTCTGTTAACAGAATTCTACTTCATTGCTCCCTCTGATTTTCAGTTTAAAAGCTCAGGTTACTTTCTCTGAGCCCTTTCTAAAGATTCTTTTACAAAGATAATTAAATCTGATTATTTTTTCACACTGAAAAAGAAAATACTATAGTACTAAAAAAAATAAGCAATTTTGAGGGAGAAATTGGACTAGGAAAAAAATTAAATTTTGTGTACCTTAAAATATAATAATAGCCAAATAGAATATTATTTCTCACAATCTGAACACCATGCAAACATAGCCTTTTCTCTGTTTGTTACAGACAGTTTTACATGTATTGGAGACCAGACCAGAAGTACTAATGACTTAAAGGTAATTTTGCTGTAATTGAACCTCACCAGCTGTTAAGAGTGCATCATTTAAATTTCTTTAAGGCTTCTTTTTAATAATTGTTTTTTTGCTACAGGTTTGCTCATCTCTCTTTTTTTAAGTCCAAACTGCCTTCAGAACAAATTGATTCACAAAATATTTCTTAAATTTCCATTTAGTGTTCATCTGGAAGTTTTTATATCCACGAGCGTTTATAATTTAAATTCCGGACAAAAGCACTATTTCAAAATTTAAAAAACTTAAACATGGTGTCTTTTTTTCCAAAACAGCTCTTAGTAATACAGACCAAGCTAAGGAGAACATGATTCAGAACATTCTCTCTCTCCTGTTTGTATAGTGCATTTTCATATAGAGTGCCCCATAGTAGGTGAACTATCTTGTAACTCTTGGTACTTTTGAAATTTTTATAAAGCAAAACAAAGCTGAATTAGACATTAGAACAATTGGTATCCGTATTCAAAAGGTGAATTTCATACCTTGTACAACAAAATTAACTCAATCAGACTTAATCTCAATTTTTAAGATGACAGCATAGAACATTCTTTTAACAACTTCCAAGATTTCTTAGATAGGACATCAAGACAATACAAAAAATAAAATCCCTATAAATCGAACTTTACCAATATTAAAAACTTCTGTTCTTTGAAAGACGCTGTGTTAAAAACTTTTACAGACAAGCCGTAGACTTGACAAAAATAACAGCAGATCATATATTTTAGATGACTTCCCGCCGGATTCATAAAGAGACCTCAGAATTCAATAAGAAATCAGACAGCCCAGCTTAAAAAAAAGAAACAAGTGGTCAAGAAAATATGTAGAGAGACCAGATAATCTATCAGGGAAATGCATATTAACATCACAGTGAGATATCACTGTTTGCCTAGTAGAATGCTAAATAAAAAAGATCTGACCAAGGTCAAGATGTGTAGGAACTGGAACTCTCCTTCAATGCTATGGGGATATACAATTGTGCAACCAGTGTGAAACCCGTTTGCAGTATTTTAAGATATTAAACACATGATTACCTTTGTTGTTATGTGCCATTGAGTCAGTCCCGACTCTTGCGACCCTGTGTTCAACAGAACCAAACCCTGCCCAGTCCTTTGTCATCCTCACAGTGTCTTTTGTTTGAGCCAATGGATGTAACGACTGTGTCTGCATACCTACTTTATGACCTAGCTATTCCACTCTTAGAGATTTACCCCAGAGAAATGAAAGTATATGTTCATGTGATTACTTGTCTGTACATGCAACAACTTGGCAAAATCTCACAATAATTATACTGAACAAACCAGATTCTCCTCTACCCCTTCTTCCAAAGTAAATATTGTATGATTCCATTCATATAAAATTCTGTAAAATGCAAACGAATGCATAATGACTAAAAGCACATTAGTGGTTGCCTAAGGAGTAGGGGAAACAGGGCTGGAGGAAGGGGTTGTTGGGTTATAATGGCTATATTAACTTTTTTAATTGTCATGATATGTGTGTATATAAAAAATTGTACACTTTATGTGCAGCTTTTTATTTATCAGCTATGCCTCAATGGAACTTGGAAAAAACCTAAATGCACAATTAGAAAGCTGTTTTAAAAGCAATTCTCATGTTACTTCCAACATGGATCTGTTTATTCTTTGGCAGTGGGTCAGAACTGACTCATGGCACCTAACAATAACAACGTATTACTTCTATCTAATGAACTCCTGTATTACATTTGTTGTTTCTGTTACCCATGTTGTTTATTTCTGCCAAAGGGCCTGCTGTACCAGCTCTAGAAAGTGTATTAAAGCTTAAATTCTGAGTTCCCAGTGTGCAGAATGTGTTGTTGCAGCCACCGAGTCAATCCGTGTCATCCCAGGGTCTTCTTTTTTGCCGACCCCACTTTGACAAGTATGATGCCCTTCTTCAGGGACTGCTAGCTGCGTTAGCATTTCTAAAGCACGTGAGATGAAGCCTTGCCATCTGTGCCTCTAAGGAGCATTCTGACTATACTTCTTTCCAGATGGATCTGTGTGTTCCTTTGGCAGTCCATGGTACTGTCATTAATTAGCATCAACACCATGGTTCAAATGGCATAGACTTTTCTTTGGTCTTCCTTATTCACTATCCCAGCTTTCATAAGAATGTGTGGCCAATGGCTTGGGTCAGGCACACTAGTCCTCAAAGTAATATCCTTGCTTTTCAACATTTTAAAGAGGTGTGTGGAGTAGATTTATCTAGTGCAGTGGTTCTCAACCTTACTAATGCTGCAACCCTTTAATAAAGTTCCTCATGTTATGGTGACCCCCCCAACCATAAAATTATTTTCATTGCTACTTCATAACTTTAATTTTGCTACTGTTATGAATCAGGTGACCCCTGTGAAAGGGTTGTCACCGTCACACACACACACACACACACACACACACACACACACCCCCCGCAAAGGGGTGGCAACCCACAGGTTGAGAACCACTGATCTAGTGGAATATGTAATTTGACCTAGTTTGTTTTTAATCGTTTTATTAGGGGCTCATATAGCTCTTATCACAATCCATACATACATCAATTGTGTAAAGCACATTTGTACATTCATTGCCGTCATCATTCTCAAAACATTTCCTCTCCACTTATAAGCTCCCGGCATTAGGTCCTCATTTTCCCCCTCCCTCCCTGCTCCCTCCTCCCTCATGAGCCCATGATAATTTATAAATTATTATTTTGTCATATCTTACCCTGTCCAACGTCTCCCTTCACCCACTTTTCTGTTGTCCGTCCCCCAGGGAGGAGGTCACATACAGTTCCTTGTAATTGGTTCCCTCTTTCCAACCCACTCTCCCTCTACCCTCCAAGTATTGCCACTCACTCCACTGGTCCTGAAGGGACCGTCCACCCTGGATTCTCTGTGTTTCCAGTTCCCATCTGTACCAGTGTACATCCTCTGGTCTAGCCAGACTTGCAAGGTAAAATTCAGATCATGATAGTGGGGCCAGGGAGGAAGCATTTAGGAACTAGAGGAAAGTTGTATGTTTCATTGTTGCTACATCGTACCCTGACTGGCTCCTCTCCTCCCCGAGACCCGTCTGCAAGGGGATCTCCAGTGGCCTACTAATGGGCTTTGAGTCTCCACTCAGCATTTCCCCCATCATTCACTATGGTAAGATTTTTTGTTCTGATGATGCCTTATACCTGATCCCTTCGACATCTCGACATAGTCTGGTGTGCTTCTTCCATGTGGGCTTTGTTGCTTCTGAGCTAGATGGCCGCTTGTTTACCTTCAAACCTTTAAGACCCCAGACGCTATACCTTTTGATAGCCGAGCACCATCAGCTTTCTTCGCCACATTTGCTTATGCACCCATTTGTCTTCAGCGATCACATCATGGAGGTGAGCACACAATGATAAATGATTTTTCGTTCTTTGACGCCAGAAAACTGATCCCATCGGCACCTCTTGATCTCATTTGATCTCCTGACAGCTTTTTCCATGAGCATTAATTGTGGATCCAAGCAAGATGAAATCCTAGACAACTTCAACCTTTTCTCCATTTATCATGATATCTGTTGGTCCAGCTGTGAGGATTTTGGTTGTCTTTACACTGAGTTGTAATCCGTACTGAAGACTGCAATCCTTCACCGTCACCAGCAAGTGCTTCAAGTCCTGCTCACATTCAACAAGCAAGGTTGTGCTATCTATGTCCCAGGTTGTTAATAAGCCTTCCACTGATCCTGGTGCTGCATTTTTCTTTACGTAATCCAGGTTCTCTGATTATTTGTTCAACACACAGATTTAATAAATATGGTGAGAAGATACAGCCCGTACACATACCTTCCCTAGTCTTAAATCATGTAGTATTCCCTTATTCTGTTCACACATCTGCCTCTTGATCCATGTACACAGGTTCTGTATGAGCACAACTAAATGTTCTGGAATTCACATTATTCTCCATGATTTGTTATGATTGACACAGTTGGCTTAAACACAAGTAAACTTCCTTGTGATATTTTTGCTTTGAGCCAAGATCCAGCTTATGTCAGCAATGATATCCCTTGTTCCATCTCCTCTTCTGAATCAGGCCTGACGTACGGCAGCTCCCTGTAAATAAATGTACTGTTATACCCATTGTTGGATAATGTTCAGCAAAATTTTATTGCCATGTAATATGATACTGTTCTATAGTCTGAGCATTCTGTTGGGTCACCTTGCTTTGGAATGGGTACAAATACGTGGTTGGGTCTCTTTCAGTCAGTTGACCAAGTAGCTGTCTTCCAAATTTCCTGTCATAGATGAGTGCGTGCCTCTAGTGATTCATTAGCTTGTTGAAACATTTCAGTTGGTATTCCATCGATTCCTGGAGCCTTATTTTTAGCTAATGCTTTCAGTGCAGCTTGGCCTCTTCCTTCAGTACCATTAGATTCTTGCTTATATGCTACCTCCTGAAATGGTGGAATGTTGACTAGTTCTTTTCGGTACAGTGGCTCTTTGTATTCTTTCTAACTTCTTTGATTCTTCCCGCATCATTCAGTAATTTGCCCATAGAATCTTTCCATAAGCAATGGACAATGGTAAAAGCTCCAAATCCATTTTTACAACCCCCAGGTAGATTAAGCCTCTTTTAATTCCTTGTGATCTTTATTAACTAGGGACGTGAGCAGGCTTAGCCTCAAGCACAGTGCATTAGAAAGTAGATTAGCCCCATTTCCCTAACTGTCCCAGGGAAGAGCAGCCTCCTTTAGGGACTTGCCTGGGTGTTTGACATAGATGACTATATTGTGGTTGAAGGAGACATGAGTCATGTCCTGGCTGCCCTGGTCGAGAGGCCTTGGACCAATCTTGGAAGCTTTTCTGTCTTAACATTATGTATGTGCCCAGTCATGGTTCTGTGTCCCTTCTGTATCCTCACCTGTAACTGCTGTATTGATCTGCCACCCATCATGTATTTGTAGCAATTTTCATTGCCTTCCAGTGTCCTGTTTTTTAAGTCCACAAATCTGTTGATGCCA